GAGGAGGACACAAAAAATCAGCAAGGAAATACAGGAATAATTCAGAAATAAAGGAATTCTCATTTTCCTTCCTGCAGGGGAGAGGAGGACACAAAAATCAGCAAGGAAATAAAGGAATAATTCAGGAATAAAAGAATTCTCAAGTTTCCTTCCTGCAGAGGAGAGGAGGACACAAAAATCAGCAAGGAAATAAAGGAATAATTCAGGAATAAAGGAATTCTCATTTTCCTTCCTGCAGGGGAGAGGAGGACACAAAAATCAGCAAGGAAATGAAGGAATTCAGGAATAAAGGAATTTTCAAGTTTCCCAGGTTTCCTTCCTGCAGGGGATAGGAGGACACAAAAAATCAGCAAGGAAATCAAGGAATAATTCAGAAATAAAGGAATTCTCATTTTCCTTCCTGCAGGGGAGAGGAGGAAACGAAAAATCAGCAAGGAAATAAAGGAATTCAGGAATTCTCAATTTTCCCAGGTTTTCTTCCTGCAGGGGAGAGGAGGACACAAAAAATCAGTAAGGAAATACAGGAATAACTCAGGAATTCAGGAATTCTCAAGTTTCCCAGGTTTTCTTCCTGCAGGGGAGAGGAGGACACAAAAAATCAGCAAGGAAATAAAGGAATCATTCAGGAATAAAGGAATTTTCAATTTTCCTTCCTGCAGGGGAGAGGAGGACACAAAAATCAGCAAGGAAATAAAGGAATAATTCAGGAATAAAGGAATTCTCAAGTTTCCCAGGTTTTCTTCCTGCAGGGGAGAGGAGAACACAAAAAAATCAGCAAGGAAATGAAGGAATTCAGGAATTCTCAAGCTTTCCAGGTTTCCTTCCTGCAGGGGAGAGGAGGACACAAAAATCAGCAAGGAAATGAAGGAATAATTCAGGAATAAAGGAATTCTCAAGTTTCCCAGGTTTTCTTCCTGCAGGGGAGGAGGACAAGAAAAATCAGCAAGGAAATGAAGGAATTCAGGACAGAACTGANACCTCAACCCTGGGACACTTCAATCATGGGAGACATCTCAATCCCCGAGGGACACCTTGGTCCCAGGGACAGCTCCACCACAGGACACTTCGGTCCCGAGAACACTTCAGTCATGGGGGACACCTCAATCCCCGGAACACGTCAGTGCCAGGGACACCTTGGCCCTGGGGGACAGCTTGATTTGGGGGACACCTCAGTCCTGGGGGACACCTCAGCCCCAGGGACACTTCAATCATTGGGGACACCTCGATCCCAGGGAACATCTCAGGGCCGGGGACACCTCAACCCGGGGACACTTCAATCTCCGAGGGACACCTCGGTCGTGGGGACAGGTCCACCACGGGGAACACCTCAGTGCTGGGGGACACCTCGGTCCTGGGGGACACCTCCATCACGGGGAACACAAAGCCAGGGGACACCTCGATCCGGGGACACTCCAACCAGTCACGGGGGACACCTCGATCGCAGGGGACACCTCAATCCCGGGCTGCCCCCCAAACCAACCCCTGCTCCATCCCTCCCGCCGGATGGCGATGCCAGAGCCGCGAGCCGAGCCTGGCCCTCACCCCCAGCCCAGCACCCCTTTTGCCCCTCAGCGCCGGGACAGGCACTTTTAAGGAACGAGGCACAGGATGGATTTTTAAAGAAAAAGGCACGGGATCAATTTTTAAGGAACGAGGCACGGGGTGGATTTTTAAGGGAAAAGAAACAGGATCGATTTTTAAGGAAAAAGCTGCGGATCGATCCGGGCTGCTCCGGCGGCCCCTGGCAAAGTCCAGGGGGCAAAAGCCGGACGGGCACCCTGAGCTGCCCCCGGTCACCGGACCTTGGCACTGAGCAGCCGCAGGAACGGGATACGCTGACCAGATCAGCGACAACGCCCGGAAAAAGGGGGAAATGGGAGGAAAAGGAGGGGGAAATGAAGGGAAAAGGGGAGAAACGAGAGGGGAAAGGGGGAAATGAGAGTGAAACGGGGGGGAAACGAGAGGGAAAAGGGGGAGAAACGTGAGGGAAAGGGAGAAAACGACGGGGAAAGGGAAGAAAACGAGAGGGAAAGGGGGGAAACTTAGGGAAAAGGGGGGAAACGAGGGGGCAAAGGGGAGAAACGAAGAGGAAAAGGCGAAAACGAAGAGGAAAAGGGGAAAACGGAGGGTAAAGGGGGGAAACGAGGGGAAAGGGGGAAAAACGACGAGAAAATTGGAAAACGAGAGGGGAAAGGGGGAAACGAGAGGGGAAAAAGGAAAAACGAAGGGGAAAGGGGGAGGAAAAAGAGCAAACAAGGAGAAAAGGAGAAGACAAGGGAGAAAAGGGGGAA